TTCCGACACGAAGAGCAACAATAATATCTGCCATTTGTGTCCACGTCTTGGAGGAGAAGAGTGGGTCCGTGTCTGCAGACGGGACTCGCACTCAACTCCGTGTCCACGAAAGCGATGCGTCCGACGGGTGGAGCCGAAGAAGTCATGCCAATTGGTCTCACAATTGAAGACAATGTATTGAATGTATGTTTGAATGGGTTTCGTGTTTACAAAACACAACACATTTGCGACAAAACGTGTGCCAAAAAAGTGCCTCAAATTAGTGAACAAAACCCCAAATGATTGTATGTTTTGTATGTTTTGGGGTTTTTTAGGTTGTATTCAGAGTTTTGTGTGAAATGTAAAGCAATAATGCATTGAAATAATGATAATAAGGAAACCACTAATCAATGCATTAATTGCTGATTGAATTCAATTGAATGACAATTCACTCAATTGTGTCTCAAATGTCCACAACTTAGACATCGCTCACCGATTATGGCTAAAGTAAGTCATCTCTCTATTGATTGCAATTGATTTCATCTGACAATCAATTGATTTGTTATTATCTTTAAAACTAACTCAAGAGTGAGACTAGAATTGGTTTATTGTCTGTCAATGAATCCAATCAGAAGATGCGGATTATTGTCAACGGAAAGCAACTCATTATACAAGAGATGTGTGTCAACAATGACCCCAATTTGCTCACCACTGGAACCGATGACCACAACAATGACCACAACTCTCAACAGGTCTTTACTCTCATTTAATTGCAAAAACAGACAAATAAGCGAACGATTTGACCATTTTTGCCGACGGATCTCATAATATGTTGTTTTTGATTGGATTTATAGCCGAATCTGAGCTCACGTTTAGTGAATATACACCGAAACGAGTCGTTAGGTTTGGGTCTATCAATAAAAGGCGGTTCCGAACACTCGCTTCCGATCCTCATCTCAAGAATTGTGAGCCANCTCATAATATGTTGTTTTTGATTGAATTTATAGCCGAATCTGAGCTCACGTTTAGTGAATATACACCGAAACGAGTCGTTAGGTTTGGGTCTATCAATAAAAGGCGGTTCCGAACACTCGCTTCCGATCCTCATCTCAAGAATTGTGAGCCAAAGTCCGGCCGATCTCTGCAAACAACTCTTCATCGGCGACGAGATATTGGCTGTGAATGACGTGGACTTTGACGGCACCACAACACACGACGAGGCGCTCAAACTATTGAGACAATCGGGCGATGACATCACTCTCAAAGTGAGACACCATAGAGTGGCCAACATTTACCGCAAACAGTGGCGCAAAAACGACAATCAATTCATTGACTTACAAGACGACAATCCACTCATTAAGAAGACATCGACTCTTTGTTTGAATGAATTGAAAGAATTGCCAAAACCTGAGACCAATAGTACGGAGAGTTGGAAAGAATGCGTGCGAATGGAGCTCTTCCTCTCGAGTTTGTCTCAATACGTCTCGTTTAGTGATAAACTAAGAGACGCCGGCTTTGAGGTGAGGGCTCTGAGCGGACAATCAGCTCTCGTTCAGTGCGATAACCAAGAGATATGCCATCAGTGGTGCAAAACCATTACAAATGCCACAAATAATCTCACTTTCAGTCACGTAAATATTAAATGCTTTTATTTTCAATAATTTGTTGCTATAATTGTTTACAATAATTGTTAACTTTTAGATGAAACTCATAAACAAATCATTGCCTAAAAGTGAACACATTGTATACATGGGTTGGGTGTCAGACTGTCAGACAATTAGATGCCAATCCAAACAGACATACAAGTGGTCACAGGAGTACCTCATCATAAAAGGCGGTTCCGTTTATATACACAAATGTCCGCCAAATTCATTGATTCAAAACGATAGTCAACTCAACATTCATTTGGCAAACAATGCATTATTTCATTACAATTGCTATCAATCGGTGTTTCGTTGCGTCAAATCTAACGAGCAATTGGATGACAAGCGAAACGCGTTTATAATACAGAGCGCCGACGAATTGACGCCCAAATACTTGGCCACAGAGAGTGCGGACGAATTAAATGAATTGAAGAACGCGTGGCACAGAGCTAACTATCATTCCGTTACACAACTCGGGGTAAATGATCACGTTTTACCATTGATTTGCATATGTGTTGAACACTGATGTACTGATGTTTGCCATATGTTTAGAGCAAAACGTTTGCAGTGGTTTGCGAGGGAATGTCGGGTTCGCTGACACTGGACTGGCGGATGGGGTTTGCCTTATATGACCCGCTGTTGAAGTCATACCAATGGAATTATAAGTTTCATCAATTGAAACACTCGTCAGACGACGGGAACCGCAAACTGTCGCTCACTTTCGTTACGAATCCCAACGATAGTCGCATTACTGAGACTCAACTCTTGGAATGCAATTCATTACAGAATCTCTTGTATTGTATGCACGCCTTTCTCAGCGCTAAAGTCGCTTCAGTTGATCCCAGATTTCTTCAGTCATCATAAAAACGGTGCTTTTCTGCCAATCCATTCGCCACTTATTTATTACAAACTTAACCAACAAATGAGTGCAACAATTATTTTAGTCAAAAATCAATTGTTTTATCTGAAAACAAATGCAAATTAAATACTTAGTTATTATGATTAATATTTATTATAATTATATGCTTTTAAGTAAACAGATTTTAATAATTTACCAAAGCTTTGAGAACTATTGTTATAATATATGATAATTTTAAAATATTGTTAGTTTTATTAACTTTTAATACAATGTATTACATAATTATGTAATTTTTGTTAGTTTTTTAAATAAGCTTTTTTCAATTGATTAATGAATGGCTTTTATTAATGAATGTTACGCTTGATATAACTAATAATGATAATGTGTTTCTTAATTATGCCTTAAATTAAGTGTATGTTTGAGCTAAACATTAAATATATTGCTATTATTTGTCATAAAAAGCTTTTGTCTTGAAATACATTTTAATAAAAAATAATGCAATCATTTTCAATAAGTTGTTTATTATTTTCGTGTCATTTACTATATATATCACAAATGGGTATAAAATGACATTATATTTATAGTTACTTTAATCGTTCTTTCTTTGGTGTGTTTTGAGTGACTTTTAAACAGTTTTTATTTATAACGAGATATTCACTAAAATGCATAGTGAATGCACATTGATAAAATGGTATTGCTTATTGATGGCAACTTTACAGAATGATGTTTATTTGGTACGAAACTTTTAATTTGTCAAATTAACAGTAATTACAATAATTGAAATAAAATAAAATAAATATAGTGGATATTCAATATGATATAAATAATAGTTATCATTGCAAATAACGTACAAAATAAGTTTTTTACATTTTTTAAAAATAACATTTTATTTCAATAGATATAAAGAGTGATATACTATATATCACTATAACTACAGAATATAAGGCAATAAAATACATATTATGTTATCTAGATAAAAATACTACAAATATATTGTTTTATTATTATATACTTAATACTGTATTAAAATTTCTACGTTTAATTAGTTTTACAAACTATAATATAGTCTTAAAGTACGCAAATTTTTAATAAAATTAAAAAATATAAAAGTTATGTAGAATTGAGAAAAATATTGGGAATAACTATTTTAGAGATCACTTCACTCTTTGGTTTTGTCGATAGCTTTTCGTTTGAAGTTTTATGAAATTTAGATAACGTTTGCATTGAATTTGTGGCCACTTTTTCGGTCGAGTTTTGTTTTAAACTTTCATTACTTTTACTTTTCTTGTATTTCTTGTCATTTGATGAAAGATTTTTGTCATTTCTTTGAACAAACTTTTTATCGTACAACTGATCCGACTTTAAAGCCAACGGACTTTTCTTTTTAAATTCAATTAATTTAAGTTTTGGTGAAATTATTTTCTTAGAGTTTCGCAACTTTTTAATATTTTCTTCGTTTTCATTGGCATTGTTTTCGTAGGAATTATTTAAATGACGAGAATATTCACCGATTTTTGCGATATTAAACTGTGGAGAAAGTGTTAATTCTGTGCTTTGTTTGGGAATTGTTTGCGAACTCTTCAGCAAATCATCAAAAAACTCTTCCGATTTGTTGTCGTCGTTGAAACTGATGTCAGAAATATTTAAAAACTTTTTGTTTTTATTTGGTTTTTTGAGAAAATTATTTTCTTTCGCCAAGAATTCTGATAGAAATTCTTTATCTATTACTGTATTCCTCGACATATCGCTCACAAAACTCTTATTCTCATTGATTCCGTTGTACACAACCATTAGTTTCCTGTTGTCGGCGCAAAATATGGGCAAATCGGGTGCCAATGAGTCCTTTGTGTCGACCTTTTATTGCAAACAAAATCAAATAAAAAATAATATTCTAAAAACATTAAAAGTAATGCAAAAATTCATACAAATTTGATGACATAATATTCGGGATCGTATTTAGCGTTGAATTGTGTGAGAATTGGATTCAATACTTTAGCACTCATTGTCGAGGGCTTTGATTTTACGCTTACAACCAATCCATTGGGAAGTTGGACCTCAAAGGTTACTCTTTGCTCAACTCGTATCTCATCCGCACTCAACTTCATTACATCACTCGTTAAATCCAATGCCTATAAATACATGAAAAGTATTTTAATTATGATTTGGATTTAATTTAAAAATGTATAATTACTTTATCGGAAGAAATAGGAAACACTTCAAATGAAGTAAAGTTTAAATTTCTTTTCTTTAACAACTTATCAACTGTTTGTTCAATGGTTTGAGACGTGTTTATAACAAGTCTTTCGTGTGATCTGTCGCTGAAGAGAACTTTCAAACATTTTATTTCTGTAGTTTCGGAAAGACTAGAATTATTGAGCTTTTGTTTTGGTGTCAATATATTTGATTGAATCCATTGAATTGATTGCATTTTTGTCGATCTCTCCAATCGCCCGCATTTTATCGGATGTAACTCTTTTGGCTTCAAATCCAACAAATTCTTATTATTAATCGATGTATTGATTAGTCGTTTCTTTGGACTCAATGTTTTCAATAGTTTTCTTTTGTTTATTCTTCTGTTAATTTCGCTTAATTCAAGTTTCTTAAGCTTTTTAAAAGCGTTTCTTCGATATTGTGTGACTATTATATCATTTTTGGTATCAATTTTATCATTTGTGTTGAATTTCTTAATTATATTTTCGTGAAAAGCATTTTCACTAAAATTATTTGAATAAAGAGATTTCAGGAACCGTTTATAACAATCAAATTTCATTAAATCGTAAATCTATTGAAAATATAGATTAAATTGAATTAACAATAACTCAAATTGATTAGAAATAAGACTAAAGTGAAACCTGTTGTTGTGGGACAGCAAATAAGTGAGCGGTCGGGTGTGTAAGAGCCGACTCGACCGCAAGCCGTGCCCTCTCATCAACATTGACGGCATCGGAAGCGCCGGCACTTAAATACTTATCGTAAATGTGTTTCGCGTATTTGGTTTGCTATTAAAATACAACATATTATAGAAATTTAATTAAAAATTGCTGTTTATATTCAATTACTTGTTGTAAATCCGATATCTTCTTGTATTTTCTGCAACACAACCAAAACTTGAGATTTTCATTGCTGTACTCTTTCTTCAAGAATTCCTATTATTAATACATTTTTATAAAAATAATTAATTAATAGATAAATAAATATAAAAGTTATAAGTTGTGTGAAATAATTACTGAAAACAATTTCACTCCAATCTTATCGTTCAATAGTTTATCGAAATCTTCAATCCATTCACAAAGAAATTTAATATCTTTTGGCAATTCATTGATTGAATCCATTTGTTGTTATTAAACGTCAGTAAATAAGTTATTAAACTTTTCGAGAGGAAAATAATAATTTTAATAAAAACACATAACTTATTATAACTCAAGCCTTAAGCATAGAAAAGTCAAATTATTAAAATGTGTGAGAATTAGGCAACAAAATGTGTTTTAAAAAATGGGAAAAACTATTTAAATAAACGGTTCGCCAAATAAGTGGTTTGAAAAACTGGTTTCAATGCAACGATTGGTTCAATAGAACAGATGTCAGGAATAAGAGGAAAAGGAGGAGAGGAATGACAGGAATCGGATTCCACTCCCATATAGTGTAGGCTCTCATGCAATACATAATAAGTGATGCATTTGAATGTGCATTGCGTTCAAAAGTTGTACCACAACTGTCCCCAAAACGCAACATTTCTTATGTCTATTTTCTTTATATTTAATTTTGAATTTACTCTCAAAGACAATGAGTTATCTAAATATTGAAATAAATGCTGACATTGAAAGTAACCGTTGAATATGTGTGTAAATATAGTACAAATATTGCATTCATAGGAACTGATTGTATTTATTAGACAAACATTTCTAAAACAATTATTGTCAAAAAGTTATATAAAGTTTATTGCATTGAATATTATTTAACTATTACCTTGATTATTATCTATTATTAATTAGTAATTATCTAATTATAATTTTAAAAGTAGTGGTTATAGTATTTAATCTACTAATTTTTAAATAGGATCAACATTTACTATTGATTTTATTGGACATTCTTTACGCATAAGTTGTAACATTATTTGTACACTAACGTAAATAATTTTTCTTTATATTTAACAAGGGCTTTAATATCGCGATCTCACATTAAGGCGCTCCCGAATTATTATTGGATGATATTGTGGGTGTGTATGAGTGCTATTTAGGAGTGTACATAAATGATGTGAGGGGTAGGGAGAACAGGGANTACAAGGGCTTTAATATCGCGATCTCACATTAAGGCGCTCCCGAATTATTATTGGATGATATTGTGGGTGTGTATGAGTGCTATTTAGGAGTGTACATAAATGATGTGAGGGGTAGGGAGAACAGGGATTTAATGTAAAGTTAATGCTTTAAATGCTTTCAATGCTTTCAAATTATATGTGCTTTGATTGTGATATACTGTACGTAATGTATGGGTTCAGTCAATGAGGAAGCGGAAAGAGAGAGTGTGAGAGCGCCTTAATGTGAGATCGCGATATTAAAGCCCTTGT